GAGGTTTCCTTGGTGGGTTACTTCGGCGGCTCCCACGAGTCGATCAATCACTTTAATGTTCTGTACTTTACATTAATATGAAGTGTGACCATCTGACCACGTGTGTGGTTGGAAAGTACCGTGCACTGCTTTTTTTTCTTTGCCAAAAGGCTTTAAATTCGATTTTTAATATGCTTGTGAGGAATGCTTTTATTCGTTTCACCTCATGGAAAATTTAAAGAGAAAAAAAGAGCTTTCTGGCACCCATTTGTGAATTTCTCTATGCTTTCGTCCCTTTTACTGGTGGGAACAAGAAAATACGAAAATAATGAAGGTAGAAAACAGCAGTGCTTCTCTAAAGACTTTCATCCGTCTTCTGCAGAAATGCAGCGGACAACCGAAATAAGAAAACATGAAACCGATTCGCAGTGCAGTATAGGCACAGTACTGTATTTCTGATTTCATTTCGTGAGACGTAAGTTTTAAAAATGCTTGTTTTTGTTAGTTGGTTTCTATTCGTTCTTTGACCAAGAATATAGAGTCGACTGAAATTCCTTTACTTTTTATACATTATTACGGTATATTCCTACTTTCCGCCCAGCTTTCATTCCATTTCACTGCATTATAATTAGATGCAAGAAAAATTGAATATTGTAAAGCGCTAAAATTTTGAAGCTCTTTTTCGATTTCTTTCGGTTGGTCAATCTCTTGCAATGTCAGCTTTGCCTATACTGTACCTCGATGGAATTTTTAGTCCCTATTTTGTGGTCTGTCGAGTAAATACCTTTTATTTGAGTCATGTGAAAGTTGTGGGAGTTGCTACGTGAGGAATGTTGCTTCCAAGTCCCCAAAATGCTGCCTTTCATTTTACCGTATATGAAATGGATCCATCCCGGATACTGTGCTTCAAAATTTCCCTAATACTGTACATTCTCAAATAAACTGCTGATAATTATACTTTTTTTAACGCCGAACACTCAGAAAGAAGGAAAGTCATGCTCAGCAGAACATATGAAGAATATTGTACCAGAATGGAGATAAACTATACATAATGAAGAATTACAGTATATTGCTAACCAAATTTCTGATGAGGACTTCGATTGTATCTTAAGTTCACCAGGTTTCGTACTGTCCATTTTCCATAGTAAAGACTGGTGGCATGTCTATTGTCCATCGTGCCAAAAGTGTATGCATTTTCGCGATTTTTTCCGATTTGAACCGGGGTGACATGGTTGTACTGTATTGTAATGTACTGCAGAATCGCTCGTAATGTAATGGCAGCGTATGGTAATACTGTATCTTGTCATATCCGAGCAGTAGAGATAAACTCGGAACAGCATGAAAACAGTACTCTTTTATCATTGAATATTCGAAATCGTTTTCATAAACGTTGAAAGCACCGCGGACGTCCCATTTTCCTCGTTTCGTGACTCGCAAGAGAAGACCTCGAATCCAGAAGAGCTAATGATTTTTACATTTCAATAAAACGTCAGGTTTTTATTCGTCGTATATTTCGTGCGTTCGTGTGCATTCTAGTCATGGGGCTTATAAAGGGGCTCGACAGACCGTTCGTGATCGGCGACCCGAAGAACATCCACACGCTGAGTTCCTACAACGCCGACGACTTTATAGACATTCCGCGGGGCAGCTTCTTCACTTACGGAAATTCCTATATTCCCTACATGAAGATCGGGGATTTGGGCGATGTGCTGAGTACGTATTTTCCTTCCCACTGAATCGCAGCAATTCGAAACCCAGCTACGTGATTATTTTCCCTCGCTCTATATGCTCGTGGTGATCCTTTCCTTTGGAACTGTTTATCTTTTCAAGTATGAAGGTTTTTTTTATCATAGAAGTGGAATTCAAAGAGTATTCAAGAACTATGATTCTTAAATCTTCAGCGATTCTGAGACGCACCTCGAGTTTTCAGCCCCTCTAACAGAATGAAAAAAGTGTATTGGTCTATATAGAGTGCGCACGACAGAAAAGCGATAAGTCACGTAGTCGCAAGTACGTAACCACTAACCAGGAAGTGCGAATGTGAAATATAAGTGAATAAGCTGCACTTGTTAATCAGCGATTTTGTGCGCTTTTTCTCGGTTGCCCTTTCATAAACTGCCTTTTTGCGTGCGAGTTGCTTTCTGGCGTTTAATCCATTCAGGAAACACCTCAATAGTTTTTTCTCGATCTGCCGGAAATCCAAGTTGGGAAGGAAGTGCACGAATGTTTACGTTATGAAAATCATGTACAGTATCAAAATTTTGAACTGTTGAAACAGTAGTCAGTATAAAAAGGTAACATTCGTGTTTGTCTCATGCGTTCACCTGTCGAGGTTTATCGCCTGTAATATCCCAAAAACGTGACCTGTAAACTTTTTCTTGAATCAGTTTACAATAATTAATGCAGACCTTAATGATTCCTAAACTTATGGAAGAAATTTGACGAGGTCGTCATTGAGTTTTTTTTTCGATTTGAGCGTAAATTCTTTTTTTCCGATTTTGGGGTCTTTTTACTTAATGCTCCCTGAACTCGTATGTACAGTAGTTTTGTCACAGAAAACGATAGGGGGTGCTTTGCGTATGTGGACGGTTTTTTTTTCTCAATTCTAATTTTAAAATTGCTGGTGCGCACTTCATTGAATGCGTTTGATACTTCAGTGATCACTGTGACTAAATCAATTACTGTATGATGCCAATCGGTCCTCTACAATTCTCATTACAATCATTTACGTTTTTACTAATGCAGGTGAATCAGTAGGCAACTTGGCTGGACCCCTGATAGCAGGATTTTACGGCTGGGTGATCCTGTTCATCACGATTCTCGTGTACTCCACGATAGCGAGCTTCGTCACGATTCCACACAGAGCTTTTGGCGGGATCAAGACACCATTGCTCAGACGATTGGTTGTGCGAGCCATTTCCTTATTGGCGCGCACTTTTTTGAATAAAGCGAAAGGAACCTTTCCCTTGGTTGGTGGATTCGCAGTTGCTGCCCCGGGTCTCCAGATTTCTCGACCGGTTCAAGGAAATATCCCTGGATTCACCGTTGATGCTCCTGCGACGACTATTAAATATTCTTATGATTTGACTGGAGATTCTCTGACTGCGTTGAATGCGTTGCTGGATACGTTCGACGATGTGAACAGAGTCAAACCGATAGGCAAGTGTAGCAGAGCTTCGTGTTTTATTGTAAATTTCTGTTCATTTTACCACGGTTTTTTCCTTCCTGTTTCTTTTGGATTTTAATGAGCGAGTTTAAGAAGGAAAAACATTTATTAGTACAGTACAGTATGTTCTTACGAGGCAAAGTTGCACGACTCTCTTCTTTATTTAAGCATGAAACGAATTTTGCAAAGCGAATTTAACGTTGTTTGTTTTTAACTGTGCGGAATAATGTTAGGGCGTAGGAAAAAATTTTTCATTCGCTGTTTCATTCACTTCGTGCTCAAAAATTCAGGACGCAGTGTGAACGCTGAGGAAGATCGTGTGGAACAGCTCAAGAAACTCGCTTTCGAAATTCGCAGTCTGGTGGGAGGTCAGTGCGAAAAACCTCGACTCGGAGATAGGGCCGTGAAATTGTGCAAAAGAGCCAAAATTGCAATGGACGCCGTGGCTCTGATAACCAGTGCTGGTGATAGAGGAAACAAGGACACAATCAAGGAGAAACCTCATTAACGGAATATGTGCACGTATCTTTAACCTACCTGATTTCCATTTGATTTGGCTAGTTATTTGCCCTTTTATCTCGAAAAATACACGGTACTCCCAAACTTATTTTAATGAAAAATTGATGGAGGTAAATTCCGACTGTATGTTCAGTGAGTTGAACGGAAAGTCGTGTTAACCTTTAAATTCGTGAAGTATTAAATTAATGGATGCTCAAGAACCAACTTCAGACTAAATCCCGAATTGTTTCTTCCTGCTATCGTTGCTGAAGTAAAAGTTTCTCCACCATGTAATCAATTTACAAAAGAAAAAAATGTGGCCTTCTGATATTAGTGCAATACATTTTACGAATTTTGGTCGAAAGTACAGTGTTTTGAAAAAATCAATGTGCTGAGGAGTTGTGTCCAGAAATTCTGCGAGGGTTTATTTTATATGAGTGACACGCTTTTGGAGATGCGTGTTTTCTTTTTTATGTTCTTATTCAACGAAATTGTAATTTTGTTGTCTTGTGCGACGTTTTGGTTGATTTGACACTTTTTCGTCTCTTCTGGATGAAAGCATTTAGTGTTCTGCTGACGGTGTATCTCAGGCTGGTACAACTTCTTTCGCGCTTGGCGCGAGTTCGGTGAAAGTTTCGCTACGGTATTTTTCTTTATAGGGAGATTAGCGGGCTCCCGCATATAACGTGGTTGTTGCCTCTGGGCATCGGAGCCCAGCACTACTGGAGTTTCAGAATTGAAAAAAATGCTGAGTTGACGATCAGAACGGAAAGCGTGCTTCTGCCAGGTTGCGTTGTGTGATGCTCTTGTGCTCAAGGGTAATTTGAGATAACGGAAGCCCATTTTATGTAGCCGTTTCCCAGGAAATCGTGTTATCCATATGTTTTGTGTTATGCTACTGTACTTGAAAAGATTTTCACGTCATTTTGAGAAAAAGACTTCATCGCGTTGACTAAAACGGGTTTTTCGGCTGTTGGGTTTCGATCCGGCGCTATGCATTATCTCACGGGTTTCAATGGCTGTTGATTTTTTTTCTGATGAGTTCGTCTCGTATTTTTGGCTTCCTCGAAATTCCTGAAGTGAGAATTTTCAAAGGCATTATTTTGTTGCACGGGGTGTTTTCTCTTGGGATTTTCCAGTCGGTGAGAATGTTTCGAAGGCTTTTGGGTTATTTGACGTTGCGATTGTTGGCAAGTCATGATCTCACATCGTGTTGGATTTACCATTCACAACTTTTTTAGTTTTATAAAGATGGATAAGCATCTGTTTTTTAGTTTTCGAGCAAGCTTGAGTTGTGTGGGTCAATTGGTGTTTTTTTCTTTTCATTTTGAAGTCGTAGTGCTTTCGGGTCATGTTTGTGAGTTGACTTCTTTTTAGGTACGGCAAACAGACATTAGCAACCGATTTGTGATCAACCGCGAAACGCGAATCTTAGTATGGTGAACAAGAAGGTATCAGCTGTGTTCCTGTGTGCTGTGTTTGTGTTGCTTGCTTGCTTACGTACGCTTGATGCTAAGAAGGGTCCTGAAGGTGAGTCACTTCCTGGTTTTGATTAATTACGTCCAGAAAATGAATGATTGACTATGGTGCGAACCCTTTCAGAAAAAAGTAGACTGATCGTAGAGTTGTAATATTTCCTAAACGCTGTAAAATACCACGTGTAGCGTAATTTTGAGTTATGGTCAATTTGATTACTGTAAGTTTCAATTGACTTCCTGTTTTATGGATTTTTGGCGTCTGTTCATGACCAGGACGCGCAGTCCTGTGTTCTGCGCGGAGATTCTCCTATTTGCGCGTGGCTGTGCTGTGATTGGCATGCTAATATTGCTAAACTACCAGGCTGGTGATATATATTGTTCAGAAGAATATATGTGGCCTCTTTTTAGAAAAAAATGTCTTTTTTTTTAATTGTAACTTTTTTTCGACTTAGAGCCCAGTAAAAAGACTTCTTCGCAGAATCAAGTGTACCCTTGTGTGGTAGAAAGAAGCAAACGCATTTTTTTGAGATGTTTCGCTCACATTAATTGCTGAAAATTCGTTGTACGCGCAAAATTTTTAGATAATGTTAAAAACTTAAAATAGTAAACCCCGTTGCTGCCCGAAATAGTTCTCATGTTGGCTTCAATTTTGTGCAGCGTAATGCTGTAAATATTTTCAGTATGCACAGGTAGACACTCTGCTACAATTTTTTCTGCGATTTTTTGTGTATTTTGAAGCGGGTCTCTAACTATGTTATAGATTTTCTCTACAACTTCATCTTCCTCTAACGAATTTTTTTCTGGTCCCGTGAATTTCGCTATAAAGAGAGATAGAGAGAGTCTGTCTGTATCACTCATCGAATTTTTGTAGCAGTTCCGCGAGCTTCAAAAATATTTTCCCCTGTTACAATGTACTAAGTCAAACCCTCAATCTTCGAATCAGCTGTCATTTCGGGAAACAAAGTTCAAAGCTACTTATTAACGCGATTGAAGAGAGCTTGGAGGTTTTGAATGACCATATTTGTGTAACGTGTGATAAATCAATAAGCTCTCATTATTTCTTGGAATAGATATTGAAGGTTCAAGGAATGGAGCTTTTAAGGTCAGTGGCCGAAAGACTCGTTATAATATCTAACTGTCTTGCCTCCCATGAAAGGAAAAAAAAAAAGTGTCGAGAAACGAATAGGATTCCCGCTGTCGGTTGGAAGCCGTGTGGGAAAACACCGGCACTCGCTGTTATTCTTTTCCGTCCCATTGCATTCCTTATTATTCGTTGTGCTGGCTTACGAAGAAGGTGTCTTGGTTATCCGCTTCTTACCAGAGGCATCCGGAAGCCAAATGGCCCGTTTAATGACTTATGCAAATCAGTAAGACGTTTTTTGATGATTTACGTCGAGCACCTGACGCGAAAACACACGACTGGCTTGGTCAGTAATTGCCGTGGGGCATACCGTAATTTGCGGGTCTATAGAAACCGTTATGTTTTCATTCATAACCTACAAGCAGTCGTTTTTCTTGTTTTTTTTAAAGTATTCTTCGTCGTTGAGAATTCTGTTCTTGTTCCACATATAAAGTGTTCGAAAATTCCCGTTGAGTAAAAAGAAGACCCTTTTCTTTGCTCAAAATTCTGTAGAATTGCGTCGGAAAACGGAAATATAGGGAAGCGCATTATTCGGAAGTATTCAGTATCTTTAATCAGAAAAATTGTAAAAAAAAATTGTTTCTAAAGTAATTTATATTTAGAATCCGATCAAGTCTTATTTGTTATTGCAGTGATTCCTCTGCACACTTACGAGGAACCCAGACGCAATTTTCTTGAAATTCTAGGATGCTTTTTTCATAGAATGTATATGTTTATGGATCAGTTAAAATAGTTCTTCCCGTTAAATTAAAATTAAAACAGCTCTTTAATTTCTATAAATTTTTTATCTTGTTTTCAACTATCTTCTTCTGCTTCAGTAATATATATGAAAAATAAAAACAGTTTTTCTTTAAAATAAATAAATAACTACAGAATAAGTGTAATCATTCGCTTTACTGTATTGTACTTCATGAGGAAAGGTAAATTCTAGACACGTACAGCATAAATAATAAAATAAGTCACATGACAAAATGCGTAGTTCATATGATCGTATTGTAAGTTGAAATCCTAGAAGTTTAATGCCTAAGGTAAACCAATTAATAAATTTACTTCAAAAAGGGCTTCGAGAGTTTAGGTTCGAGAATCTCTACACATTTTAATTTTATGCGTTGAATTACGTCGCGTTTTTCTTCGTCGAAATTCCGTTCAGCGTTACTCGGTTCCTAGTACCCAGCGTTCCCAACTGTAGGTGTGGAGAGAGGAAAGCTTTTTTGTTGTCGCTAGAAAAGAGAAAGATGCCAATCCACTTCAGTGAAGAAGAAGATTCAATGAAGCAAGCTGATAATTGGCCCTTTCCCGAGTGATCGTGTTCTTTTTCCACCTGCGTCCGACGTGTGCCGAAAAGTTCCCGCGAATCAACCGCATCCCTTTCACCATGTTACATTTCAGCCTTAATCTAAGCTCTATTCACGATCACGGAATCCGAGCTCTATTCACGACACGGAGTCGTTACATTCTCATTACCTATTGTACCATGATAGTGAAGGAAATGAAATTTTATTTTAAGGAAAACGAAAAAAAGGAGGAGGCAATTGCTTTTACTCTTTCATCCGTGCTGAGAGGTCAGGAAGCTTGTGTGTGTGTATTTGTTGCATCTCACGAAATAGGAATTTGCACAGACTTGCACTCTTACGATTCTAGCGCATTCTGATTGCATTTATTCCTTTCTTCAATTTTTTCATATCTTGGCGCTTTTGGGGGGGTTATCTCCCGTCCTTTTTTACAAGCTTCTTTTGTTCGTTTTGTTTCAATTTTCGCAAACTTACCAATTTTCTTGAGCTTTTATTGTTTGCAGTTGTAGAAATTAGTTGTCAAGAAGTACGCGTGTGTACTTCTGGCAGTTACTGCAGAATTTGCCTTGAAATTGAAAAGGTCATCGCGACTTGGTAAAACCTTGGTTGGAACGCCTCTCAGAATTCCGAACTTATCTTGATAACTCGAACCTCCCTAGATAAAATACAATACTTCCCTTTGTCGAAATTTCTCACGTCCCTGTCTAAATGTCCTTATTAGAAGTAATTCATCAAAAACCTCTCCAAACTCGAAGGCTTTCATCCTAAAATTTTCTGACGTCAAATGTGCTGGAATCCTTTCGGCTATTATTTCATTGACGCTGGAAGAACAGCAAAAAAAGTAAAAATGCGTTTTGCAACTAAGTGAAAGACTAATGAGGCAAATAAACCCTTGCCTCCTGTCAACTCATTTAAGATGCAATTTAAGGACCAGAATATCACTGAATACAATTTCCTGTAATTCATCTTTCTTTCCACTCCAACACAAATGCTTGTTCCCCTAACTCGAATATTTTTGCTGGTCCTTTGAAGTTCGACATAAAGAGGTTTGACTATTAAGATGTAGAAAAAAGGACATGATTTGGTTGCTAAAGGTTTCAAAAAGTTGGTTCAAAAATCTCACCCAGAATCGAAAAAGCCGATGCAACGATCATCTTGCTTGATAAGTGAGAACGCGGAAGTATTCGTTAAACGGATGACTCAGTATTGTGTACATTAATTCAAATGATCGTTCCAGCATTTTAATGCCAATGGCATCCATTATACGAATGCTAAATTAGTCAACTCGTTCTCGTGGACTGAGTAGGAAAAGCATTCGTATGTTTTGAATTTGTCGGTTTTTCTAACTCTCGGAAATTCGTTTGTGCATAATTTGGAATTTTCTTTTTTGCAGATCTTCTTTTGTTCACCGTTGCCACGGAAGAAACCGACGGTTTGAAACGATTCTTGCGGTCGGCCACGATTTACAAGCATAACGCAAAGGTCAGCAAAGTTTTTTGTCCTTCATTACTTCCGGGTTTGAGTATTGCCTTTTTGTATGTAATTTCACCTGCTATCCATCTGCTGTTCCTCTTCCTTCTTGGTTATGAAACCGCGTTTCAAATATTAAAAAAAACGTAATTGAAGATAAAATGCTGCACTTCCTTCTGCAGTGAGTATCCTTCCACATGCACTGATGATAGCATGCATAAAACTAAAGCGTGACTGATGTTTATCACCTTGACTGTCGCATGCGAATAATCGAGGAGAGTTGATTTTCTTCCGGGGAAAAAGACGCAAGCTATTATATGTGCAAGAAAACGAGCGAATGTTCTTGTCACGATGTTGGGAGAGTGGTTTAATTAATAGTGATGACTGTTCAGGTGCTTGGTTTGGATGAGGATTGGAAGGGCGGTGATGTGGCTCGTTATCCTGGAGGTGGGCAGAAGGTCCGGTTGCTGAAAGAAGAGCTGAAGAAGTACAAGGACGAATCTGACCGAGTCGTCCTTTTTACGGATGGGTAATTATGATTAAGTACCACGTTTCCTTAAAAAAATCAGCTTTGGTCGTGATCACAGAAGTTTGTCGTTCGAAAATAATAATAAATAAAAGTTGACATTATGTTCTGACGAATAACGAATGTTCAAGTTGTTGAAGGTTAAATTCAATATGTGTGAACAACTGCTGTACTTTCCAGCAAATGCACCAAGCGCGTATATCCAACCTTGTAAATGCGAGGAAATGGTAAAAAAAAAAAATTTGACAGTACGTGAAAATGAATTTGGGTTCATTCAAAATATTTAAATGAATTTATTCTCACTTTGCGTTTCTCTATCGAAGAAACCAGGAATGGCGGGTAAATCTTGATATTTCTGAACCTTATTCGGTGTTCGAGGGCATTTTTCAACTCCGTATAATTTCTCCATTCTGACCGAATAAAATTTAGAAAAGCTTGTCAAGAAGTGTTCAAGTATTGCTGAAAATAAAAGCTAATCCATAGTTCATCCCCTTAACCAGTCTGCGACAAACCGACAACTAACGCAAAATTGTGAAAAATTCTGGATGGACGATTGTAGTGTACTGTATTGTAATACAGTAATTATTAATCGTTCTTTTCTGGCGGAAAAATTGAAACAGTTCATAAGGTGTGTGTTTTTGTTGTTATATGGGATGTACGGTATTCATTCTTTTTAAAAGCTTATATTAATAATTGTTTTCAAGGTACGATGTGATACTGACTGGAACGCCGAGCCAAATCCTGGAGCAATTTTACGAATCTAAAGCAAGAATACTTTTTGGGGCAGAAGCGACGTGTTGGCCAGATGTTGCCCTGGCTGAAAAATACCCGGAAATCGAAACAGGGATTGGAAGGGCGGTGATGTGGCTCGTTATCCTGGAGGTGGGCAGAAGGTCCGGTTGCTGAAAGAAGAGCTGAAGAAGTACAAGGACGAATCTGACCGAGTCGTCCTTTTTACGGATGGGTAATTATGATCAAGTACCACGTTTCCTACAAAAAAATCAGCTTTGGTCGTGATCACAGAAGTTTGTCGTTCGAAAAAAAATTTTAAAAATTTGACATTCTGTTCTGACGAATAACTAATGTTCAAGTTGTTGATGGTGAAATTCAATATGTGTGAACAACTGCGGTACTTTCCAGCGAATGCACCAAGCGCGTTTCCTTTCGATGTACAGTATATCCAACTTTGTAAATGTGAGGAAATGGTAAAAAAGATTTGTCAGTACGTGAAAATGAATTTGAGTATATTCAAGATATTGAAATGAATTTATTCTCACTCTGAGTTTCTCTTTCGAAGAAACCAGGAATTGTCGGTTAATCTTGATATTTCTGAACTTTATTCGGTGTTTGAGGGCATTTTTCAACTCCGTATAATTTCTCCATTCTGACCGAAGAAAATTTAGAAAAGCTTGTCAAGAAGTGTTCAAGTATTGCTGAGAATAAAACCTAATCCATAGTGCATCCCCTAAACCAGTCTGCGACAAACCGAAAACTAACACAAAAAATGTGAAAAATTCTGGATGGACGCTTGTACTGTACTGTATTCTAATAATTATTAATCGTTCTTTTCTGGCAAAAAAATTGAAACGGTTCATAAGGTCTGTGTGTTATTTTTGACGATGTACCGTATTCAATCTTTTCAAAAGCCCATATTAATATTTTTTTAAAGGTACGATGTGATACTAACTGGAACGCCGAGCCAAATCCTGGAGCAATTTTACGAATCTAAAGCAAGAATACTTTTTGGGGCAGAAGCGACGTGTTGGCCAGATGTTGCCCTGGCTGAAAAATACCCGGAAATCGAAACAGGGATACTGGAACGCCGAGCCAAATCCTGGAGCAATTTTACGAATCTAAAGCAAGAATACTTTTTGGGGCAGAAGCGACGTGTTGGCCAGATGTTGCCCTGGCTGAAAAATACCCGGAAATCGAAACAGGGAAACGCTTCCTCAATTCTGGAGGTCAGTCCAAAATCTTCGAGCGTGTAATTACTGTAATTTATTCTATAATATATAAATGCTATGCTATAGCACCCGTCCGTTGTGTTCGAAGGCCGTTGGTTCTTCTTCCTTGGAGATTAGCTGTTCTTTTGATTGTCTTTAATAAGTTTTCTTTCTTTTTTAAAATCCCGTCTGGCCTCGAATTGTGTGTGCAGGATTTATTGGCTACGCGTCGGACTTATTCAAGCTGGTGAGCAGAGAGGAACTGAAGGACAGCGACGATGACCAGCTGTTTTACACTACCGCGTTCTTGGACGAAAAGTTTCGAGAGAAGCACTCCTTTAAATTGGATCATCGTTCCAGCATTTTCCAGAATCTCAACATGGCGATGGGTTTGTTCAGTTTATGTTTTTTTAACTGATTAGCAGATCTAGTGTTAGGCTGAAAATACTTAATTTTTTCCTTGCAAGAAATTTAAATCTAATCCAAGTGTGCTTATAAATTTTCCTTGTTTTTCCTTGGTCTCGATTATTCTGGAAGATTTTACAATTCATGAACGTTGAAGTAAACTCTGCCTGCTGTAAAACATCGTGCTAATGAACACGTCCCAATATTCTTCAGGGCAATCAACATTAGGGGATTTTATTATGCTGGATGTTCTGCGACGGCTCAAAATTTTATATTGTTTCCTCTTGAGTGTGAGCAACTTCCTTCATTATTGTAATTTTAATGACGTTTGCGCGCATTTCAAAATCTGAACTGAGACGAGCAATGATGCCTCGATTTGATTTTTGGTATTGCCAAAATGTAATTACCAATAATAAGAAAAAACCTGAAGTGAATGCTTCCTGCTTCCGAAAGAAATTCAAAATCAATCTTCATGAAATTCTTCGACCAACAATTGTTCTGTCTGTGTCTTCAATGGTAAATCTTACATTTTTAAAGGTGATGTCGAGCTCCAATTCAGAGGAAAAGACGCATTCTTGCAAAACATTGCCTACGGAACTGTGCCACTAGTCATCCACGGAAACGGTGCAACCAAATTGGCACTCAACTCTCTGGGAAATTATTTGGCGAAATCCTGGAATGCCATCGACCAATGTGTCGAATGCCAAGAAAATATGAACATCCTTGAAAATCGTGATGTGGGTATCAAATTCATATCGGATGGATCTGTTTCTCTCCAACAGCAGGTTCAGGTACAACTAACCTCACCCTTTTTCACAGGGTGAAGTTTTTCATTAATGAAAGAAAAGATAATAATTTTCCTCTCAGTGCATCAAAATTTCATTTGCCTTTCGAAGATTGTACTTGAACTTGCGGGAAAGACAAGTTCATAATTGATGAACAGCTTGAAAAGTTTTATCTCTGCATACAAACTTCTATCGAAGTGGAGTAATCTGATTAAATTTTGCGATTTGAGAAAAAAAAGCAGCAGCGTTTTGTGAAACCTGCTGACAAAATTGATTAAATTTATTTATAGGAAGCCGAGTATCCAATCGTAACTGTTGCCGTATTTGTGGAGCAAGCGACACCGTTCTTTGAAGAATTCTTGCTCAATCTGGTGAATTTGAATTATCCGAAAAACAAGATTGATTTATTCATCCACTCAACGGTGAGTCGATTTTTTGAACCCTTGTCGATGTTTTCATCAGTTCAAGTACTACAGTGTACTGTTCGTCAGAAATAACGAAGTAATAAAAAGAATGTTTTCTAAATTCCGAGCAGACGGAATATCATTCAGCCGACATTTCTACCTTCTTGTCGGAAATTGGTAGCGAATACCGAAGCTTCAAGCTTATCGACTTCCACGACAATGTCAAGGAATGGCACGCCAGGAATGGAGCTATGTATGATCCCCCCCCCCCCCCCACACATTTTTTTAGTAACGTCTATTTATGGACACCAATTTTGTTTCAGGGATTATTGTGAGAAAACGAACTGCGATTGGCTGTTCACTATTGATGCGATTGCACATCTTGACAACCCGCATACTCTTCGTCTTTTAGTGGAGCAAAACAGGTGAGATACAGTGTTTCTTCGAAACTCACCCTTCTTATTTGCTTGTGTACGGAATATTTTTGCATATTGATATTTTTTCATATAGAAACGTTATTGCGCCGTTGCTCATTCGTCCGTTGTTCCGTACCAGGTTAAAGACCCCACGAAACTGTAGTCTACCCAAAATGCGGGCACGAGGCCTAATGTACCTATAACAATGCCCTTTTGCCGCCATTCGTTAGCTAAAGAACCTCCGAGTAAAGTAATGCGGAACTCGGGTTATTTAGATTGTCTGTAAACTTGGAAATGTGGACAGAAATCGTTTCGGCAACAGGCAATCATTGCAGCCTTTGGGTGCACTATAGAAGGCCTGATTCTTCTGCTTTCTCTCGTGTCTATGCCCTTCTTTGAAAGCGAATCCAATAATTTTGTATGCTGCCTAAATTTTGCTTCGTGATCAAGCCCGTTTGATCATGTTCTAAAAATTTCTCGACCTGATGGAGACGATGTCTTCTATGATTCTCAAACAAATGTGTTGAATCGCTCAAGCTTTTTCAGTTGTAATGTGTTCGAAAGCGACCATAAATGAAAAAACAAAAAAATTTGCTGCAGTAGAAGCACACATTTGCATACACACAGTACATAATTAGACTTGCTGAACATTTTGAGGTCTTAGCTCGGAGACAGGTTCTTCAAAAAATACGGGGATTGAAATTTCGATTCTCGTTCGTCCACGATTGTATCACTTAATGATCGATTACATTTCTGAACGATTACTAGTAAAACAAAACATTTGACAAAAGTAGTCCCCACACACCTCACAAGGCATGCACTGGCCCCGAAACGACTAAGCAGCGAGCCAGTAGAGGCTTTTCCGGGGAGCCGGTTGCATGTAGTTCTTCTTGTTGGATCCTGATATGGCATTGTGCGAAAATCTTAGAGACAAAGTAAATTGTCATTCGAATTACTGCGACGTATGTTGGAAATTATATATGTTGTTTTTTTCTATAGGGAGTCTTCATGTATGTGACGAACCGACTGGATTTCGGTCACTTGGTTGACCCCGAAAATTTCGAAACAAACCATATCCAGCTGCTTGAAAAACTTGAGTAGTTATTAGCAACCCTGACCCTCTTTGCGATAAACGTACAGTTGATGTCGGTCTCAGAGCGCCTCTTATGTTGTTAGCGAGTCCACGTGAACTCACACTGCGTTGAAGGGATTTTCCTGTGGAGAGCTATATGTTGTAACAATTGAGCGTATCTTAAATCTTCGGAACCCTAAATGACTCCCTCCGAAAAAACACGTTTTTTGCTATGTAGAAAAACTTTTACAAGTTAAAAATATTCAATCGCAAAATACAAGAGAAGAGTATTAGATACAGCACTACATTATTCATCAAAAGGCGCGAGGATTTTTTTAGGGTCCTTTTATTCATATTGGTGATGCGTCTTATTCAGAAGAGCATTAGAAACTTCTTTATAGAGGTGTAGTCTAACTTGAGCTTAATATTATTCCGACAAATAATGTTATCCAAGTTCAGTTTTTTTGGTTTATGCTCGCTTTGATGTTTTCGGCCCACTCTATACTATGCTGTTACTGCGAAAGTGCAAATAGCATGGTTATTTAAATTTGGTCTTCATGAATATTCCAGCCGTGTCCGGATGTCTTCTGGTTCCCGATTGTGACCGATAGGTATTGTGAGGAAATGATTGAAGAATTGGAGAGCTACGGGAAATGGTCGGATGGTTCGAACTTCGACGAACTTTTTGAACTCATCAATAATCGTTGGGACTGGGAGAAACGCTATTTGCATGTCAACTACAGCCAGAGTCTCGCGGAGAATACAACAATCGCTCAGGTGCACTTGAGTGTGACGCAACTTAGGATTTTTCTGTGGAGAGCTATATGTTGTGACAATTGAGCGTATCTTAAATCTTCGGAACCCTAAATGACTCCCTCCAAAAAAACACGTTTTTTGCTATGTAGAAAAACTTTTACAAGTTAAAAATATTCAATCGCAAAATACAAGAGAAGAGTATTATATACAGCACTACATTATTCGTCAAAAGGCGCGAGGATTTTTTAGGGTCCTTTTATTCATATTGGTGATACGTCTTATTCAGAAGAGCATTAGAAACTTCTTTATAGAGGTGTAGTCTAACTTGAGCTTAATATTACTCCGACAAATAATGTTATCCAAGTTCAGTTTTTTTGGTTTATGCTCGCTTTGATGTTTTCGGCACACTCTATACTATGCTGTTACTGCGAAAGTGCAAATAGCATGGTTATTTACATTTGGTCTTCATGAATATTCCAGCCGTGTCCGGATGTCTTCTGGTTCCCGATTGTGACCGATAGGTATTGTGAGGAAATGATTGAAGAATTGGAGAGCTACGGGAAATGGTCGGATGGTTCGAACTCGGTGAGTGTTTTGATGCACAGAATTATTGAATTGGAAGATTCATTCATTTCCTCGTGAAATTTGATTTGTCAAACGCGTCGAAAAGGGCTAATTCGAATCTCCTGATGCGTACATTTCGCTGATGAGTAATTTTTGGCGCCGGCCGACGTTTAAATATCATCAGAGAATAGGCTTCTGAACAGTTTAAAATGTTCCTTATGAGATTCAGATGAGTTTCATTTCTGAAATACTGTATCGGGCTTGAGAATTTTTCCGCAAATATTTTGAAAACCGGGGATTCGTCATGGGGTTGATGCTTCAAGTTGAATCTTGTTCAGCGGGTTTAGATATCATTTGATTTTCGATTGATCCTTTTGATTTCAAAGGATGAAAGATTGCCCGGCGGCTACGAGAATGTGCCGACGATAGATATACACATGAGGCAGATCGACTTCCATGACCGATGGATGCATTTTCTCGATACTTACGTTCGTCCACTTCAGCTTGTAGTTTTCAAAGGATATACTGATGCAGTATGAAATCATTTTTTCAAAATTAGCATCCCTGCTTGTTTTCGGTGCTTCTTTGTTCGCCGTGTCAGATTTTCTGGCCCCCATCACTGCTGCAGTGTAGAGACGTGTGAGATTGTATGTTTCACCCGTATTTTGCCCTTTCTTTCTAAATAACTGGTGTTTCCATCCTTCGTTGAAATTCCGCATGTTTCTTGGGAGTTCAGGATACGAGGATAGAAGGAGGGTACGAGAATGTGCCGACCATCGACATTCATCTTAACCAAGTTGGGTTGCATGAACAATGGCTGTTCTTTCTTGAACACCATGTTTACCCGCTTGTCGAGAAGGTCTACCAGGGATATTCTGGAGATGTATGTATGAGTGTTATGGAGTTCATGTACTGCTTCGTAGACCGATTAACAGTCGCGTGATCCTGTTTGCCCTGAAATGACATAATGGGTTTATGCTTGTGAATTGGAAGTTTTTCAGACCTGCCTCTTTTTACCCGCAAGTTCGAGTGTAATACGCGATAATAGCATATACAGTACTGTATTGTATTTCTTGGACTAATATTTTCTTCGAGGTGTGTTTCAAATGGTTTGTCAGTATGTTTTTGAGAATGAGTTGTTCTGGTACCCACGTTTCAATTTTTAGATCTCCAAAATCCGCGTGGGATAAAGACAAAAACCCCTTTGAAACCGTGGGGGTGAACTTTGTAGGTCCATTCGAAACTATGAAGAACTTTTTTCCGATTCTCGAAGGGTTTCATTTAATTTAGCTGATTATGGGTGATTTTTCGATCAACTTTAGGGTAACTTCTACGTTCACTGAAACGAAATTATCCAGGTCACGAAAAACGTTTCACGGAGTAGTCGAACAGCGAGGACGCCAAAATAAAGATGCCGAAGGCTAACAAAACTTTTTTGAACGGACCCCCATAAATTTGGAAGGAACTTATTGGTTGCTATTTTATACGCTCTCTTTCTTTGCTGCTTGGGCCCCAGTTTGTTTTACGTAAAACATGCAATTTATTAATCACATCTTTTTATGCTGTTGAACAGCCGCCGAAGGCAACGATGAACTTTGTCGTGAGATACAAGCCCGACGAACAGCCCTTGCTGCGTCCGCATCATGACAGCTCGACATACACGATCAACATCGCATTAAACCGTGTAGGCATCGACTATGAGGTAAGTTTTGAAATGCTTTCAAAAGTTTCAATGAGTCTTGACTGCTGTCATCATGCCGTGCCTTAAAACGTTTCTGCTTGGGAAAATGCTTACTATCGGAGATGGTGCCTTCTATATTTTAGTCTGCTTTCAAGTTTTTCTTCCGCAGAAAACAAACTTGATAATCAGGGAATGCTATTCAAGCCTGGAGTCCTTTGTAGACTGCCGATTATCCAGTCTTTACTATTAATGGATCTTCGCCTGGAGAATCGAATACAGTATTTTAGAAGTTTATTCAGCAGAACCACAAGTTACATTTTCAATCATTTTTGAGCTATGATTTTACATACGGTATTTATGGAATTCCTAAAAATCGTGCGGTGAATTAGCCTAGGTAATGATGAAATCATAGGTAAATTGATGACGCATCGTTATTATTATTGGATGTCTTACTGTACATCAGCATCCCTATCTCGTTTTCTTCATGTTGGACAGGTGTCACTCGAATAACTAAAAAAAAACTGACGATACGTGACCGTGGGCAAGTTTGACGAACCTATTTGTCCTGACCTACCTTGACCAATGCCTGATGCTATTTCCGACTCGACTGAGACATACGAAAGCTCAAAACATAAAAGCGTGAAATTGAGGACGTAATTAAGTATCGGTTTCAAAGTAAGAATACTGTGATTAACTATATCATTGCAGTCAATCTATATTGATATTCCTCTCTGACTAAATGTACGCCGGAAAAATGTCGCATCATCATCATCGCGCGTTTTTGCCTCTCGTTGAAAGTAGTGGGTAGCTTTTTTCTCCTATTTATTTAAATGCTGGACCACACCTGACTGTCTGACAACGCAGGGCGGAGGATGCAGATTCACTCGTTACAACTGCTCCGTTCAAGCCACAAAGAAAGGTTGGATGCTTATGCATCCCGGGTCGTTGACGCATCTCCACGAGGGACTCCGCGTCACACAAGGAGTCCGCTACATTCAGATTTCCTTTGTTGACCCCACTGACTGAGTCAGTCTTTTTTTTTCGACCGGTACGAAACGAAAAGCACTGTAATTCAAACGAGACCAACACTTGTGATGTCCATTATCGCACCGGTATTCTATATCCCACGCACAAAAAGTTGCCACGTTGCCATGTAGCATCCTCGAAATATTCATCGCGCAGCCGATTGATGGTAAATGACTCGATGGTGATGGGAATAATAATAATGTATACCTGTATCCTTCGAGAACTTCCTGTTGACAATCCCCTTTTGTCAATATAAGGAATTTCAGCGCAAATTTTTCGTGATGGAGTGACTGTCGAAACTGAGTGAATAACTGGATTTAATGCACTTAACGCGGGATTTTGTCGATAATTATGTCTTTTTTGCCACGCAGTTTCATGTACAGTGGTACGGTATTTTCTGACGAAGACATTATAGACACTTATTTAATCATGATGTGTGCGTGCGTAGGTGCAGTTGAATTGAAGCTCGTGCTAGAAAGAGACTAATTTTGTTGCTGTTGTTTTCAAGACTAAACCTGACCCTGAGAATAAACTGTACTTTTGCAGTATACCTATAATGTATTTTCAGACCTATATTTATCTGAAATAAACTCTATTCCACATGAGGGAGAATAGATTTTAGCATTTTATGTCAGATAACATCGAAGTCCTCTGTCACCAGCACCATAAGGGTAATGGGTCGTGTGCGCGACGATATTATGCATTGGGCGGTGTTTCATCTGGCGAACATTTTTGGTGGTCATAATATATCCTTTCGTTTTATTTATTTTTAGGGAGGTGGCTGTAGATTCGACCGTTACAACTGTAGCGTGACATCGACAAAGAAAGGATGGATGATGATGCACCCTGGAAGATTGACGCATTTGCATGAAGGACTTCGAGTGACGAAGGGAACGCGATACATTCAAATTTCTTTCGTGGATCCTTGAATAATAAGCGTTAAATTTTTAGATTTTCTTTCCGAAAAGTCTTCCTTCCAGCAGCTGCAATAAGGCTCGCGCCGAAAGATTCTCATATTTTGCTCCTTATTCCTTCTGACGAGTTTGGAAGTTTCAAGACGCTGACGGTCGTTCCTCTATTTCCTTTTATAATGACGATTTTTGACGATGAATGAATTCAGGTTTTGCATTGTAATCCCTTCAGCGAACACTGCCTACACACAGTGAATCCAGCCAAATACGGATGACCGGAACGACATGGACAGTTTGACGAGAGTTCGATTTTATTTATATTTGGCATTTAGGTCGGCTTCTTGTGACTCTCTTGACACGCGACGGGTGGGACAGATTGTTGTGGATAAATTTGGAGCTAGAATTTTGTGTGTGTGGGGAGTTTTTTTTTTTTTTTTTTTTTGCGTGTGGTCGAGTTTTGAGTTGATACTCGTACCTGTGGCTGCGTTTGATAAAACGCTTTCTTTCACAAGGGAGGAAGGGTGTGTTTCACTTTATCTTCTTGACAGGGCTGCGTTTTTTTATTTTGTGGAATGACTAAGATCTACGAGCGCTTCTCGGAAAAAAAAAGTCCTTCAGGAGAAAGCATATTTCGCTCGACGCGTGATTGATGTCGAAAGCTGCTGCTTGACGGGATCCTGCACGGAATTCGATAGATGTCGTTCATCAACTCCCATAGGGTGTACGTGGGATATTCGTTTGATGAGGCAATGAAAGATGGCCGCTACCATTGTAAATCCTGACCGCATGACGTTTTCATCGCGGTTCGATCGCGTGAAGCAACGTGACCGACGCAGCATGGCCGAAAAATTAAAATTAAGGATCGAAACTGTTGCCCCGTGTTCTTGAAACAGTGTTAAGACGTTCTGAATTGCGTGGAATTACGTTTTTCAATTGTTTTCCCCGCTGTGGTTTCCCTGGAAATGAACGCACCATTCGCCGGTATGCTATACAGTAATGAATCATGGTCCCTTGTGCAAGCCTATGAAGTTCGTGGTCTTTCCAGTATCTACTGAGGACATTTGCTTATGCAAAGGTGAGCCCTTGTCCTCTGGTGCAAGAGTTTTTAGTGCAGAAGAACGGAACTATGCTTTTTGGCGGTGAGATTTTCTCAAAATTCGAACTTCTCGCGCTAGTGCTGGGTGGGTGCAGTATGGGGAACGATTTCGTTCTCTCTATGCGTACCCTTGAGCCATCATCCTCTGCTAATTATTCATCATACATGCGAGATCAAACTCAGCTATTTCTCCCGGAACATGCAAAGGTTCCTCTGGAGTATCCGAGAAAGTGGAGGTTAGTCCGAGATGGATTACAAGTAATGATGAATATGTAGGCTTATGAAGAAATTGCTGCGAATAAATGATTGTTTTCAACTGGATCATGCCTGAGGACTGAAGTATGCATTTTTGAAGATATCCAAGCATTCCGTCCATTATCGTATCCGCAGTATATTCTATGGATGTTGCGCACGGGGCGTACCGAACTGTAAATGTCACGAATTCAACGTCGGTCTGTTCGAAAATTTGTAGTGTTCATCGGAGCCGACGAACATTCAATTATTTCAAGATTTAAATTAAGCGACATGCAGTGTACCAATGAGACAAAGAGGTCTCTTCAAGTTGTGAAGGGCGTGTGCTTTTTTTTCGCGGGAGATAAGAAACGTTTAGTTCGAGTGGGACTGCACTAGTGAGAACTCGATAATTGAGCGCATACTTAAGATATCCTTGTGGAAGGTGCGCTGAGTGGAGCAGGAGGGAAATTCAAACTGCTGAATCTTGACAAATCCAGAATCTTCGTTTTTTTTGGTTCCATTTGAAATTTGAAGCATTCCTTTTTTTAATGCTTCCGAAGAAAATATAAATTTGTTTCTTTTTCTTCAGTTTCGTCTGGTACAGTAGTGGAACTTGTGAGAGGTGTTGAGTGCGCGTTTCCCGGATAGGAAAAAAATCGTGTTATAAGAAATTTGATTTTAATGGACCACAGCCTTGAGGAAAACTTTGAGTAAAAACTACAAAAAATCAAATTTCTGCGACATGGGAGGTGTAATATGGGGATACAGTGTCAAGAGTTTTGGGACAGTCCTAATTCAGTCGAGGAAGGTTTCTCAATCGTATTTCGGCGTAACTGCACGTTTCGGAAATTCTAATGGCCTATTGCTGAAGTCGATCATGCATGGACGTATATCAACGCCTATAATATATCCGGTACGTTCGAAATATTTTGGCTTTTTGATATGTTCCATCGGACGTATATTTTTCAGAAGAAATTTCATGTGCGTACAATCGTGTGCTTAATTGAATTGTCATGATGCTCATGATAAACCGAACTTAAACTCGCTGAAGGAGTTTTATGGCTTGGTCAAGTACACAAGCATTTGCCAATTCCACATGGGGCAAACTTTGTCTGAGCCGGTCACTACTAAGGAGTCGGCTAGCGTAGAAAATTCCATCTGGAATGTCGGGTCATCATCTATGCAGGGATGGCGTGTATCCATGGAAGATTCCCACACGCACATCCTGTCTTTGCCAGATGACCCTGGCACGTGTTTCTTCGGTGTTTACGACGGCCATGGAGGTGAGTGTGCAGTTTCGTGTCAGTCTGTTCTATTTCTTTTCATCACTCACATTTTTCTAGGGTGTAAGATTTCCCAACACGTGGGCAAGCATCTCCACAAGTACATTGTCCAGCATGACGAATTCGTCAAGGGAAACGTCGAAGACGCCATTAAACTCGTTAGTAAAACTCATTTCCTCCCAAAAATGACGGTTTTGTAAGTTCCCGGTAGTCCTAGTAAAATTTCCGGGCGCTTGTAAACAAGCAGAATGAGATTATATTTAATGCCCTAGGTGGGCCAATTATAGTAATAAAATTCACCATTAAAAAAAATTTGACCTCAATTTAATAACATCGGAGTCATGATCATCTTGGGTTTTTAGCGCGAATCCAGCTTTTCAACATTCCTGATGTCTGTAGTGCTATATCGCGGAGATCAGGCCGAAACTTGTTCAAATCCTGAAAACACTGAGGATAAGCAATGCAATGCGTGTTTTCTATTTTTTTCTAAAGAATATTAAAGGAAAAGCTGTTCTACTTATAAAGAAGCGTTATACAATACCTTTTTTTTAATGGCTTCACAAAACATGTTTGCTAGGGATTCCTTGAGATGGACCAGATCATGTTGAACGATGTGGCGCTGAAGGAGGACTCGTCGGGCACAACAGCTGTGATAGTTCTTGTAAAAGACGGGAAACTTTACTGTGTATGTATTACTGATGCGTAGTCACAAGTCTGTCTGTGTGCAACATGCGCGTGTTGTCAGTATGTGCTTTGAAATGAACAGGGAAATGTCGGTGACTCGCGAGCTGTGGCTTCACTGCGTGGTGTAGCTGAGGAATTATCCATGGACCACAAACCAACTAGTGAGAAGGAGTTGAATCGGATCGTGGCTGCGGGGGGCTATGTGGAGTATTCCCGCGTCAATGGGAACCTGGCCTTGTCGCGAGCCTTGGGTGACTACGGATACAAGCAGAATGTGCTGAAGTCGCCCGAGGAACAGATTGTCACTGCATTTCCAGACGTGGAAGTTCGCCAGCTCACTGATGATTACGAGTTTCTCCTCATTGCCTGTGATGGCATTTGGGATGTTTTGTCTAGTCAGGTACGATTTTTTGATTTTTTTCCCTTCCTTGTTTTTTCCTTACGTTTATGTAACTCATGCAGAAAACCTCCCGATAATTTTTCTACTCGCGAGGAATCTGGGTGCGTCTTGGATTCGCATGTGAATTTTTGTTCACGGACATGCCAGAAATTGCTGTATCTCGCTGAACACCTAGCTCTTGAATGTTGAGTCAGAATCTGGCATCTTATTCTGTGTAATTTTATTTGTGGTAGTCGGTAATATTGGTTCTCAGGGTAATTTCAGTTGAAGGAACAAGAAGCGATTTGTGGGTTATCCACGAGAGAAAATGAAGAATGGACAAAATTAGACACACAATCCTCTGAGAAAATTTTCGAGGGATTTCTCAATAGAAATATCAGACAAATAATGTGAAAATTTTATTTTCTTGAGAATATTCATGACGCAGATAATCCGAATTGCTAAACGCAAAAAATTAATCTAAAAATTAAAACCAAAAACTTCCATCAAAGCGGAAAACTTGTTCCTATTGGATTAAATGATCTCAAAAATGAAACCCACAAAAATTTTAGCTGGCTAAATTCACAGCAACTGAGTTCCTTGGCATCTGAGAAACAGAATGTGAGGAAAAGAGGGCGAAAAGGTTGCGCCATTCAGGAAAGAAAAAAGGGTGTGTTCATCTGGTGATCATGTGGCTAAATTGTTGCCCAAGTTTTACTTGGTACACGGCGTCTTCCAAAACGTAGAGTATTTGTTTATCTACATCAATTTTCGCATTTTTATTTGCACATCGCGTGTATCCTTCAATGAGTCATTTGCAATGAAAACTTGAACAGGTTTTTGCCCATGCTGTTCAAAAGATTTTCCTTCGAACTTTTAAGCAATTGTCTTGGTTTTGGCAAGATTTTTTATTTATTGGATTATTAGTTGATACTATGTATGGTGGATGTTCAGCAATTTATGGTGTCGTAAATTCTCATACTTAGGGTACAGTATTTCTTCACTGAAGAATGTATTATTTTGTATGTTAGGATGCTGTAGACTTCGTTCGTCAGCGGATCGGCAAAGGGTTGGAGCCAGAAGCCATTTGTGAAGCTCTACTGGAGCACTGTCTCGCACCGGATCTATCATTTGGAGGATTGGGCTGCGACAACATGACAGCCATTCTTGCCGTGTATTTGAATGGACGACCTTATGAACAGGTTTTGCGGGGGCAAATGAAGCTGCCACTCATTAAGACGGTAGATGAAGTCCTGCCAAGCAATGACGCGACGGATTCCACGGCCAGTGCAATGTCAGCTGTCTTTGCCACTGTGACAGAATCTGGCAAAGCTGAACCAAGATCAGAATCAAGCATGGAACAGAAAGGTACTCTTAGGCGCTGGCTTAACCTCAAACTGCGTCGTTGATGTAAATTCCTTGCTTCAGTCGCTCCGTTTTATCATTTTCCCCCCACCTTGATTTGGTATCACATACAGTACAGTATTTATTTTCCGTTTGTTGTACATATATATGTGGAATTGAGTATTGTCTCATCGTGATCCTCTATGCTTGTCTCTCTTTGCAGAAAACGTTGAAACAGCATGATGGCCCCGAGCTCTGACAAGAGAGACACATGTATGCGACTAACAGGGAACCACGGCTGTTGGTGCAGTTAATCAATCCTACCTGAAATCCTTGATTTCATTACCTCTTTTTTTTTTTTTCAAGCCAGCCATCAGCCAACCATATGCGATGCCATAAACCTTTAATTTTTCCATTCCTGGTCTGTTGAATTTTTCCTATATTTTTTTCGTTCCTCCGAATCCTTGTTCGTTTCTCGTGCTTTGTTCACTTGCTGATTTTCCAGCTTGTTTGGTAGTGGGCATGCATTTATACTCGGTTCGATTGGGAGGAACAAGTTTTATCTTTGGTTATGAAAATGAGTTTTTGCCGATCGAAGAAAAAAGAACAAAAATTACCAAGGTTCACTACTTTCCGTTTTGATTCGTAAACGGCTGTTGTCTCAAGGTTTGTGAAATCGATTGCTCTCACTTGGAACTTCGACGATATTTCATTTTTTCATAGTTCTATGGATAACCTACTTTTTTTTTACTCATTGTTGCAATTTCGCCGAGAAGTTCTCGTGAAAGCAGGTGAGTTGACGAACCTCTGAGACTCCGGTCGAAATATCGTTACTTCGGATCAATGATTGATATTAATGGCGATGTAGGTGTACGTGATGTTGATTGATTGTTGCAGGATGAAATCCTTCCAAGTGATTTTGCGCTTTGCATGGATTGTGTTCAATAATGTGTATTGCATACCTACTTACACCATATGGATGTTTATGTTGCTGCCATTGAGGTTGTGGAACCCGTATTTGTACTGGAGAATCGAAGCTGTGATGTATGAGTGGCTCCTTAACATGGTAGCAGCCTGGAACTGGACAGCGGACTACAGAGGTGAGGTATGTTTAGGATGTTCGTGGGTTCGATGTCTAAAATCCAGCTTGTCTTTTGCCTCTTCGTGCGACAGTGGTGGAGACAGGGGATGACATTGACAGTATTCAGAAAGACTCGGCATTGTTTCTGTTCAACCACCAGTCAACGTCTGATGTACCCCTCATCATGAATGTGGTGACGTCGCGGGTTGGTGTGACGCAGAGTACCATGTGGATCATGGACAAGCTGTTTCGCTGGACCAATTTCGGCGTTGTCTCCTTCATCCATGGTGATTTTTTCATCACATCGGTCAGTGGTTTGTGACGCAAGTGGAAGAAATTATGTGTCCGAGTCTCGTGTGTGTGGTTGCAGGGGAAAGCTGGTAGAGACACTGCTTTAGTTGCTCTCAGACATCATCTCCAAGAAGTTTATGTAAAGAAGAACATGAAGTGGATCATGTTGTTTCCAGAAGGCGGGTTTTTATACAAGCGAAGGGAGGCTAGTCAGCAGTGAGTAATTCATATGAACAAGATCCATAAGTGTCAATATTATGGTTGGTTTGCAAGTTTTGTTAATCTCACTCTTTTCTTGTCTGTCGTGTTGGATTGATTGTGGTGGGATATACCATGAACAATTTGACTTATGGACACTTGAAATTCAACATAATAATTCAGACAATTTGATCAAACACGCGGACATTCCAACATTTGAAGACTCGCACAAGTAACTGTCCTCATCTTTTGGCCTCACTTTTACTCTTGTTGAATAATATTGAGCCTTTTGACAGCTGTGTCAACTTTTCCTCACCAAGGTTAAAATGGAAGATAAAAAGCGCACTTCTAACAGTGGGGATGAAGTTTACCTGCCATGAGTGCATGTTCAATAGAACTTTAATTTTGTACAAGTACATCGAATTATTCCGGGAGTTGTGCATCTTGACGATTGTTTATGTGATGCTGAATGCAAAGGTTTTTCGGAAATGTCACTTTGACGAAGATTTTCCAAGTCAGGGCTTGAATCAGAGATGATCCTCGAATTATCATCAGCATACATCTAGTCCCTATTTCCAATCTTGCTGAGACTATTTCTTCTGACGTAGGAAACTTTGGGTACTCGGAGATAATGCTGTGGGATATGGCTGGATACCATTTTTAAAAAGCAAATTATTTTAATTTTTTCAATTCACAAAACATTTTTATTCTCCCGTTTTCTTGCAGGTTTGCCAAGAAGTACGATTTGCCCGTGCTGCAGCATGTGACTCTACCCAGAGTCGGAGCCATGCATGTTGTTCTTCAAGAACTGTGTCACCTGACCGAAGTAACCAAAAATGGAGGGGAAATTCCTCCTTTCAAGTCAGCTGCAACAAACCCTGGTCTGAAGTGGGTCATTGATGTGACAGTGGCTTATGCAAAGGGTATTCCGCTTGACCTGTTGGCCATTGCGTTTGGCGATCAGGGCCCACAGAAAATTATCTTTCATTACAAAAGATTCGCGGTTGACGAGGTACGTGTGAATGAATTTGTGAAATGAGTTACGCAGATATCGCTGCCATAATTGCATGTTAAACTTCATCCATTCTTCAATCGAAAGAGGCTTTGTGAAGCTCTTTAGAATTGCTGAGTGTTTAATACCCTATAAGTCTCCCAAATGATAATACTGTAGTTGAACTGTTCCAGATACCTCCAGAACAGTGTTCCCCAACCTCTTCGGGCCTCCAGCAAATTTCTCTGAAATTTTTGGCAGACTGACCAAGTTTCATAAAAACTTTCATTTCAAGAATTAGGTCAAGATGAAGGATGCAGCTATAGTAGAATGTCTTCAAAAACCAGAAAGCAAATCTCCAAGAAAAGTTTCTCAGGATCAGTATCTGAACTAATATACTTCAGCTGGTCAAAAATTTGCCTGAAGTGTTGAGAGGAAAGCCAACTTTTAGTTTTCATCAGATCATTTAAAATGCATTTATTCACTCATCTGAAAATTCACAGAAGTTGTTCTTCACTGTCTCGCCAGGTGCCGCACGACGAAGAAAGTCTCAAGACCTGGCTATATAAGCGCTATGAGGAGAAGGAGCAAAAGCTCAAAGAATTCTACACAACCGGGCAAATTGGAGAGACTGGCAGAAACGTGCAGCACAGTGCGGTGTACTTTCTTGCCCTCCATTGCTTCTTCCTCTTGTCATCGTGGTTCCACTGGAGCCTCGTTAGGCGCACCATGGCTGTACTGAGTTTCTAGATTGTTTGTTGTGTACTTGCTGTACCTCTGCATTATGTTCGCGTTTCTCTCTGGTTTGGGATACGTTGGATCTCTTTTGAAGAAAGGTAGAAAGGGAAGGGAAATTGCATTGCCATTGAAGAAACGCAGGGAGGCATTTTGAATTGTACTGCAACGTGTACAGAACATGGGCGGGGGGGGCGGTCTGGTCAGGCGTGCAGCTTTGAGCGTCATTTGGAAGCTTTAATTCGTGTTGTCCTGTTCCGAAAGTGTGTGAGATAGACTGCTCACTTCTAAAATTAGTTACTTTGGTTCTTGCATGTTTTTGTTTTTTGACGACCTGATGTCGGGTCGGTGTTCTTGAGCAGGAAAGGCTGTGGGCAGCTGCTTAGTCCACCCCTATTATTCTTTTGCGCGGGTCATTTTTAGTTTTACTTTTAGTTGTTTTTTTTTTTAATTATTGTACCTTGTTGTTGGGCCATCAATTTCATGTGCTTTGAGAAGTGGAAATGCAATTTTAGCCATCTGATGGTCAGCAAGAGGTATTTGAATTTTAAAATAAATAAAAAATAGATTTTTCGGGATAACAACCGGGCGAGTATTGTCCACATTGAAAAAAATATTGCAATGTCCAGAGGACAAATCGAATGAAATCAAATCCAACGTAACTCGCAGTGAAAGACGGGAAGTTAAAAATTTTCGAATCGGAACGGATAATTTTTTAACGCAATGCAGACCCAATAAGGTTGTTATTAGGAATTGACTTCAAAAGCTCCATTGAGCAAAGAGAGGTAAAAGTAAAGTGAGATGATTAGTTTTCATTCTGTAGGATATATATTTCAAGTCCAACTGTAAGTTACCTTTCTGAATTAATAAAAGCATAAGGTGCAAAAAAGCATTGAATTCTGATTACTCTGATCAGATGAATGAAAATCGTATTGAATCTCATAACTGATGGCATCTAGGATATGGGATTGAAAAGCACGAATGCCTCTGACAACGAAGTGCTCTAAATTACGTTTCAGATTCAAATACAAATCTTGATAGCCACTTACTGTTATATTCGTGCTGCATACAATTTAAACTAAAATTTAATCCAACGTAACAGATGTACGGTATACGCAGTTTTTCTTTGAGGAAATCAAGGTGGTATTTCAGACAGAAGTGGAATCAATCAAGCCATCCACAATCTCGACAAAAATGAATACAATTTTTAAAATACTAGTTTTTCCAACAAATTTGTTCACATTATCTAGTTCGATTTCTTTCTACTCTGACTGGTGAAATGCAAAATTTTTCAGTTTACCGTAAGATCGGCGCAATGCTTTCATTGAAAGTAACGAAAGCAGTTCGTTATTTTCAACGAAAGCATTCCACCGGAAAAGCATTGCGCCAATCTAACGGTAGACTGAAAAAATGCTGCATTTCATCAGTGAAAAAAAAATTAATTGAAAATAGCAAATTTCTTTTGTGATTTTTAATGAAAGCACTCCACCAAAGGTGCATGTCTCCAATGTAACGGTAAACTTGAAATTATTGCATTTCATCAGCCAAGACATGGTAGAAAAAAATTGCAGTGACGTATCACAGGAAGTCAATGGATTTGATCAATTTATTGATCAACCAAAAAATCCACGAATAAAAATAATGCCAACTTCTTCCAGAGCTAAAAAAAAGTCTTATCAACTGAGTGAAGCTGTACGGAATGATCCGCTTTAAATCCCTCTGAATCTTCATTTCACAAAATTTCAAATAAATAATCAAAACTCCTCGTTGCAGGTGAAAAACTTTAACCGCGAAAACACTAAGAAATATAGAAAATTATGTTTAACAGAACCACAAACCGCAGAAGAAATGTTGCGACTCCTCAAAAATTATTCTGGCAGCCACATTTTTTCCAACCCTAACTTTAATGCTGTTTCTCGTGGGCGATTCTTTTTCCATGCAGTTTCATTTCAACAGGTTCCAATTTGTACTGCTTGCAAAAAGAGATTCGCAGCCCTTGTACATCATGCGAGGCATTAATTTCTGTATTCGGGGTATCACGGGACAACACTGAGTTCCCCGTTGGAGTACAGTACTGTAGAAGGATCACGTCAATTCCTGGTAACGTCATGGTACCATTCTCAGCCCCAGCAGCACACGTGGGTATCTTATCCACAAAACGTGCAGCGATGTGCACCGAAGGCTCGGCAGGAGTTTTCACTTCAGTGAAGTTCTCCCTGGCTTTTGTCGCCGTCAAGTTCTGTCTCACGATAAAACCAGTTGGCGAGTGTTGGTGATGACGATCGGTTGTGTTCCGGCTAGCTTCAATCGATTCAATCAAAGCCGTGTGCGCTACTCTTTTTTTTTCAATATTGCATAGAGTCTTTCCCGTCCGCGACGATTAATACTGTAAACTGAATTTCTGACGTGAAGTGAAACTAATATCCGCTGAATCACTGCTGGTCAAACATATACTTTAGCACAATGACGTGTTATCCTCGTTCGTTGAAGTCGGGGGAATGGCTGCAGTGATCATTTTTTCAGTCCACAAAAGCCTCCTGAGACTTCGTTCCAAGTGAAAGGGAAAAGAACTAGCATTTTTCGTTTTGGAAACTTAATTTTGTAAATTAAAAATTATAATTCGCGTGAAAAAAGTTTATCCACACATAAAAGAGTGTCCATGAAGTTTTCTGAATTGAAGAAGGCGGGGTTTTTCAAGTTATCGCTTGCGGAAGTGAATCATAAGTGCTGGTGGATGAGCAATGAATCCTACGATGAAAATTGATGGCGCAGTAAAATACAGTGAGACCCCGAAATACGGATGATTCGACTTAGGGACTCAGAACTCAGAACCGGAAAAATTTACCCCCAACATCCGGACAGTGGCTCGAGATACATAAATTTTTCGTAGATTTTTGGAAGTATGAGAAGTTTTTTTTTCCTCTACATTTTCGTATTTCTTGAAGAATTTGGGCTACTTTTTTACATTTACAGATGCTATAAATGAATTTAATTGTAAAATTACTAAATTCATCATCAAAACCAGGATAATTTTGGGCTTTTTTTCAATTCTTCTCCATCATCTATGCACAAGAATTTTTTGTGTTCTTTACTTCTTGAGCTCCTTCTGATGCCAAAATATCAGATTCTGTGTAGCTTTCTTATGTAGATTAATTTTCTACATATTCAAGTTGAGAAAAGATAATCTCTTCCATTTTTTTTGAAGAGCTTTTTCTTTAGAATTAAACTGCAGTGGGAACAATTAAAATTATTCCCATTGAAGTCTATGGGAAAATAAGGTCCAACATGCCATGTTCTGACTAAGGGACAAGGTCCATTCACCAATTATGTCCGTATCTTGGGGTTCTACTATCTGTCCTCATAATTTTTGCAAAAACCTAACAAAAAACTCATTGACTATTGCATACTGACATATAAAAATGTTCAGGGATATCAGGATGAGGGACTGCGAGTCACTTGGAAACTTAGCCATGACTCTGTAGAACAGTGTTCCTCAACCTATTTTGGACCGTAGACCAGCAAATTCTCATATAATTTTTTGCGGACTGGCAAATATGTCAAAAATGTTCTCCAGGCTGGCAAAGTTTTATTCATTTTTGCAGACTTGAAAAAGTTGTCCTTGAAAGACTTCATGACAGATATTTAAAAAGCTTTTTTTTCAAAAAAATATTTTGAGCCAATCAAGCAGCTATAGTGGAGTGTCTTCAAACAATTTAAAAAGGGACTTGAAGAAAGGTTTCTCAGAATGAAAACTAGAAATAATTCATTTTAGCCAGTGAAAATTTTTCAGAAGTGTTCTGAAGAGAAAAGCCAACTTTTATTATGCATCAGATAATTTCAGCTGACTTTGTCTTTCCGGAATTTCAGATAACAATAAACTTCCTCCTAATTTATGCTGAGGAAAATTTTCGCGGACCACGGGTTGGGGAACACTGCTGTAGAACATCAGTGACCATCATAATGCTTGCCAGCGACATCTACCCACACTGCAGCCATTTGTCTCGTAATGGACAAAGCAGAAAAATGTATCTCATGGATTGAAAATGTATCACTGTTTCGAGACCTCACACATGAGATGCCCCATACAATCTTCACTCCATAGGAAGCGCGGATGAATTTCGAGTGAACAAACTAGGAAATTCTCGCGTTCAAACTGAAAAGTAAATTTGATTCCAATTTAATTAATTCATTCCCACAAGGAACCGATTAAGAAGCGTCTGCAAATACTGTTTTCTTCGATGCCTTCCACGTGCCCCCGCCTGGTGGTTTTTGATATGCATTTTTAAAATAAGTCACACACCACAAGCAATGCCGGCAGATATTTGCTCGTGTACTTTTGGAACGCAGAAAAGGTTAATTTGAATTATAAAATTAAGCTCGGAACCGCATAGAACAAATATTGACAGACCATGCGAGTGGAACGCAATGGAACGCTTTTAAAATTTGAGGTAGGAAAACAGTCGTAAGAAATTTTGCGAACAAAGAAACTTGGCACACACAGAAAAACAACTAAGTAACACAATAGGAGAATAAGCTAAAACACCAAAATCCCATGTCTCAAGGTATGAAAATTAACTTTCGATGAGGTAATTGCACAGCACACATTTCCGTCATCAAAATTTTCACGTCGATGTCAATTTACTGAAATTTAAAAAAAAAGCCATGACACACGTATTATAGTCATAGCATGAAAAATGAGTGCATTAAATGCACTCGAGTTCAATTTCTTCGAGAATTCGCCATTTTTAAAATTACTTTGGTACTGTTGTTCAAAAAAGTTCCCCATTATTATTTTGACATTTTCCAAGTTGAGGGTCTTACGAATGATTCCAGCAAAAACGATGCGAAGGAAAAAATTACGTGATCAATTAAACAATTAAACATGAGAATAAAAAAAAAAGAATTTGAGCAATGATTACAAAGGAAAAACCATGCGTCTATCCGATTATTCCAATAAGTGATGCCTCTTGCCATTTTCTCGCCGTCACCGTTCGCACACATGTTCGGCATCATACAGAAACGACTCGTCGGAAAACAAAATATCAATCGAAATCAATCATTGACCGATACTAAAGGGGGTAAAATCAACGAGTCGATTAATGGAATGCCCAACAATAATCCAGTGTACGTATAATAATAACACACACGCCAGCAACAGTCGGCTCAAATCCCCCTTCCCTGCGTTCCTCCACATCCCCGCAACACCAAGAGAGCGCTTCGCTCAACAAGGCTTGGCTCTATTTGCAAACGTGCTTCCCGCGCAGGCACAAACAGCAGCCATAGTTTTTTTTGTTTTTTCCTCACTACCTCTCTTTCTTGCTGGTTGACATGAATAATTTGCGTCCAATTTATTTTTGTCCCTCATCAATGCAATGCCTTCCCCCCCCCCCCCGTACATATTTCCCCTCTTTTTAATGGAATTCTTGGTAGAATTAATCAGAAGGGAAAGAAAAAGATCTTCCCCCGAGGCCGGTATTTATTTTTTTTTAACGAGAAATGTCTGTCAGGGGATCTGACAAAAAGCAATTACACCGTAAGTCATAAGCTGGTAGAATATCGGAGCAAAAAATTCTCATTAAAAACGGATCTTTTCTTAAAATGGAGATCTTTAAACAAAAAATCATAAATAGTAGCGGCTTTTGGACACGAACTTAAAACACAAATTTGCTGTAAGAAATAATTCCTTCCGATGAGATTATTTTTATAAAGAGATTTTAAAGTATAGTGCGATTTTGGCACAACAAAACCATCAGGACCGGGAAAAACCTCGTCATGAATAAATTCAAATAATATGGTGGCTATTGGAAATAAATTTGTTGCAAGAAATAATTCGTTGGAACGAAGATAAACTTTTGATTTTTTTAAACTTGAGACAAACAATCATTAAGTTCGAGTTAAGATACGGGAACAAACATCCGGATCAAATCGTGAAGCGCAATTGCTGCGTTTTTTTTTTCTTCTTTTTCTGCAAAATAGCTTTTTCCTGCTCTGGATGCGAAAAGTCGATTTAGTGTCTCTAGCATTATTATCGTGCATGAGACGTTTAAAGCCATCAAGCGTTTTCTCGCTTCAAAATGCTTCAAAAGAACAACGTCCGTTGATAAGAACCATGACACGATGAGAAAAAAATTAACTGGGGATTGACAAGACGTCAGTGGTTTCCGAGTGACGAAGTATGTTTTTCCTGGAAAGACGACAAGGACTGTCCAGCACTCACTTAATATCACAGTACGAGGGGCAGCACTAAACGTGATGTCATTTTTGTTTGCAACTTTGGAAAATAGACAAGACGGCGAAGAGATCTTCGAGGGGGGAATGCAAATTTTATTCAATTATCCACAACCTCAGACGTGTCAATCAAAAAAAAAAAAACTTTATCCAAGCCAGGCATTGTTGAGAGAAGCATTTTTACATGGATATTCGGGGGAACAAAAATGGGAGAAGCAAATGGAAGGTTGAATAACAGGAACAATAAACGAAGCTACGCGCAAATAAACTTCAATTAATCATTCATTATTATTCCTCTTTTTCATAATTTTTCAATTTGTGCGTAAAATTCTGATCAAGAATTTTTTAATCATTTGAACTGTTTTTAAACAACAAAAATGGAAAATATAAAAAACTAGGACTTCTTTTTCCAAAAAATAACATCGCAAAACTTATTTCATTTCTTACGCAATACTGCTGGTGTATTTTATTGGGCCCTCTGTCTGAAATTACAGGGAACAAAATTACGAAAATTCCTCTCCTCGAGAAGCTCCGAATTTTTTTTCAAACGCTTTTACAGACGAATCATTGCACGTCATTTAGTTTGAAGGCAGGAAAAGTACTTCTGCAGTGAGAAGATATCAGAGAGAAACGAAAAAGGGTTTTTCTAATGAGCGCAGTGATAATTGAAAACAAAAGAGAGCAGAAAAAAAAATCAATAAAAAACTTGACTGAATTAGGCTGTCTTTATCATTCTCGACAAGCGTAGACGATCAATTTTTCATTTATTTTGTTTCCACAGTAGCAGATGAAAATGAAAAAGCTTCAATGTTACCCCACGTTCTCTCTTTCTCTCCTATGGATTTATCCTATTTTTAAAAGCATTTTCCAGCGACATCCCATTTCCGTGTTCCATCATGTCGGCTAGAACTGGCTTCTGAAGCATTGACATTCACATGATTTCTCAGTGCAGAAAAATATGCGCAAGGCTCTTTACAAGAGAGTTAAAGTTATATATTTTTTCTTCGTGGGAAAACCGCGCCTGGGAATAATTAATTGCGTTCAAATCAGGTACTTCCAGGTGATTGAAAAAGAGTGAGAATTTTCTTATTAAATCCACACAACACTTTTAAACTACTGTAAAGTTGAATACCAGATCAAGCGTAACATTTTCGAGTCAATTGGCAAACGTTCATCTCGAAGGATCCGACATTCGACCGAACGCGATGTCCTGCGTACCAGCTTTTCGATATTTTTTCGACAATTTTTAGTATTGTATTTCACAGCAAAACGAATAACCTGATTTTAATAATTAATAAATGTAGAAATCAGCACTTATTATTCGATCAATGCGTGTTAGTTCGTTCAGTTTTCGTCGGCATTTAAGATTTCTCAAGTGAAAAATTGCACGCTCGGAAGAATTCATTCAAGAAATTCGGGACATTCGCGCTGTGTATCATTAATTTGGCTCACGGATCACAAATATTGTATTATGCATTGAAAGTCAAATGTTGCCATTGTGAACAGGCACAGTGGATCGAAAGAGTTTATTTAATTAAGAAGAACATTTATTCGGACATGGGGGACACGCTGAAAAAAGGTGCGGTCAGCCTCAAGTTCCCCGCAAAACACAGGAAACTTGGAAGTAAGGTGAGACAAAACACCTCTATTTTACATTGAAAAATAAAGATTTTCCGCAGTCGTTTCTAAGCATAAATCAGACCTTGAATTGGGACGCTTCAAAGAACGTTAATATGCAGTAACAACGTCGTATAGCGCGTTTGAAATATTCACGAAATTGTTCGAAAAACTACGTGATAAATTAAGTTTTCGCATTCATCAGAGATAGCGCACCGCTAGAAGTACCTGTTTCCACCAACAGAAGATTTCGTTACACAGGCCTCGCGATATTTTTCTGATACTGTACTTGCCATGGCGACATGACAATCCAAAAAATCTACTATCCCTTTCATAAATTGAGGTATTAAAAATAATGTTTTTATTTGAATTGGAACGAAAGTAACGGCCAAGAAAAATACGGGTTTCACCTAATCCTCACGGGCACTTGAATTATTTTACGACTGGTTTGTCTCGAAGATTACAAAGAACTACGATATTCAACATATCTAACTCTTGAACAGTGGATTTTGTCTATCTTATCACCTGGAGGAAAACGTCCCAGCCCAATTAAGGGGAGGACATATTAATGAATGAATAAATTTCAATAAATGTAACTAAGCAGAGTACATCATCCAAATGTAGGCGAAGGTTTTGGTTTCGAAGTCATGTTTTGGTTTTGCGCTGCCATTGTTCCAAGACTTTCCGTTTGGACACGGGAGTAATTTTTCATGTGAAATATTTGATCATTTCATCACCATGATTCAAATTGTTGTTCACATAGATGATCAACCATAACCTTCAGGATTAAAGCAAAGAAAGTAAGACTTAAAAAAAAGTAAGACTTTAATGGAACGAAATTTGGCGCAAATAAGGAAAAGTGTGTTCTGAGTCTCGGTAATGATCCCGCAAGGGTTTCGGGAGATCGTACGACCAAATAAATTATTTTTAAAATGCTGAAAAACTTTATAGAAGCCTCTCTCCGGATCTGACCAACATTCAAACATAATCGGAACTTGACTTTTTGGGCGCAGGCATGGAAACAAAAATGGATCGAGCTGAAAAGCCCGGAGAAGCCGGACGAAGACCCCAGAATCATGACATACGACTGCTATCCTTTCCATCTCAGCGGTTCAAAGGCTGAGCCAAAATGCATCGCACTCAAAAATATCAGTGGAATAAGATTAACACGCTCAAGGTACGTCAAAAGGGCTTTCAATACAGTGAAGTACTGTACATTAAATCCATTGGATTGTACGATACCTGAACTCCAGCACACTTCGCATTCTCGAATCTCGATCCACATTTACCAAGACTGCGTCGAAGTCGCATGCGCACACGGTACATTCACTGAGTTCCCGCGGTTTCTTTACACAATATGTAATTGTACGAAGCACATCATCACAAACCCAATGAGTACTGTATGTCCGACTCATTTTCTTGTCTCGAAAGGAAGCAAGAGTATGTTTGCGTGATCGATCAAGCGGACAAAGCCAATGCTTCCGCAATCAATCTCCCGGAAGGACAGCGGGCAAGCAAAACCTCCTTACACAGGATAAGTGGATCTAGTACGATTATGCGCCAGTTCAAAGCCAATAGCTGGTCGCAAGACTTCACCAATCAGGATGAAACTCATTCTGAACCTTTCTTGTACGTGTCAACGTGGAATTTCACAGAGCTGCATTCTTGGATGACAGAGATACGGAACGCCATTTGGCCACCGAATGCTTTACACGGTGTCTGTGAGTGACTAATTTTCCCTGTTACGTTATCCGCGAAGAAAATACGAACACAGCCGCGTCATATATGCTTCGCTTGTTAGTTGAGATAGTGGTTCTTTTTATTCCATCAAAAACTCACGTTCAATAAAAAGATGTAGTGTCTTCAAGAATATAGAAATTCTATATTGAATGAATATAGAAATGGTTCCTCCTCGGTAACTACTTTTTGAATAGTTTCGGCCCCGCGGAACTCTGACAAACGGCGCATAAGCAATAATACATTTTTAGCTCAACGAAATTATTGGGCTCCTCGTGAAATCGGATAATGCATCCTGATATTTGTCATCGAATATACATTATATCTGGAAAATTAATTTTACGATTACCATAGTTCTTTCCGCAAATCTATTAAAAATTGCAACTTCAAGAGAACTTCGAATACCCATCATTCACAACTCTTGGAATTTTGCTATACGAAACATGTTTTCGTTAAAAATATTAGCCAGTGTAAAGCAAAATTTCGAGTTCTCACGCATTATTTCCGCAGAAGAAGCAGTGCCCAGTACAGTAATTTTTTTTTTATAAAGAAAATCGAAGAAAGCCTTGTTTTGCAGCTCGTCATGGTAACTTATAAAGTTATTACTGCTCTTTCTGTAGATTTTCCGGACTGTTGACCAACTGTGAGGGAAGAGACAGATTTTTAGATTCACTGGCAAACCTGTTTTAATTAAAAGAAACAGAAAATTTCAGTCAGGCTCAAGGATTAATGGAATCTGAAATCCTGTATTTTCACGTAATGAATAATTCTCCATGACTCTATGTTATAGCGGATGGCTTTGAAGTCTCTCTCATGGACATGATGGGCTCGTGGCAGCTTTCAGACTCGCTTAGGGACAAGTACGGACTTTTAATAGTGGAAGGAGTCACCATGACACTCTTCGACCCATTTACCGGGAAAAGCCATTTCAGCTGGAATGTCCTCACTTTTTCCTGCTTCGATTTGCCTCAAACCACTTGGGAACTGGACAAAAATCACATAATCCGCGGATTCACTACCAAGTGAGACTTTCCACGAGAATAATAAGGATTACTTACGCGGCGAATTTTTCAGCCAAACGATCGTGATTTAATTAATCTACAAAATATTGTGACAGTCAACCATTGAATTGATGTAAACTTATACCATGAATGATGACGGGCAGAACTCTATGATGATGAAAACCCATCAGAAAACTATCTTTCCTCCATTAATGCCATGACTTGGAAGATTTTACATGCATATGCCTCTTATAGGAACATTTTTTCCACTAAATGAACATTTACCGTCAGAAAAATAAATAGTTATTTTTAAAATCTGCACCGCATTCAACCTCTATTTTAATTATACTCCACAGAAGTATGAACGTTAAAGCTTCCTCTAAGTAGATTTTTGAGTTCGTGGTCGGGCCATTTACCGAGAAAAATCCGCGAGATCAACACATTCCTTATCCAGAGTAATGTTCTGCAATCTACATATACAAAAGGTTAATTTAAATGAGCCAGCTTATGGATTGATAAAGATCCGCCGGGACAAGAAAAAATTACACAACGCCCCTTTTTGGACGTTCCACTTTGATGCAGCAAAGAAAGACTTGTAAACAAAATGGGGGATCATGAGATAATCCAATAAAGCATCAAGAATATATTTTCGTTTCGCGAGAAAATAAAAAGTACTGCTGTCAGGTCTTCCAAAGGGGAAAAAAAAAATCAGCTACAGTCGCGGCAAAAATACAATTTTGAGATAATAATTTGCTACGAGTTGGTGAAACAATGCGAAAGAAGAGAGGGAAATTTCCCGTTCCTTTACCTGATCTTGGGGGGAACGCATTCCGAAATTTGACGCTGAAAACTTGCTGCAATTCGCGCGTATTCAGGGTGCATGTAAAAAAAAGAGAATCACGTGGTCCGTGTTTCCAACACAGATTCCATCCCCTCGGGGAAGCCGAAGTCTGGATGTTCTGCAAGGAAGCAGAAAGCCTGTATTCCCGCCTCGAGCGGATCCTGTTCGAGGAGAGACGTCTCAGCAAAGAACCTCGCTGCACCATGACCCCGATGATGAGAACTTCCAAGAGGACAGAGGAAGAGACAACGGAGCAGAAAACGCGGACACGTACGGTGGCATTTTCTTCGACTTCAAAGGATCATCCCCCGAGGAGACATGAAAAGCTTCGACATCGCGACTCCGGCTTCGTCGCCGTCACAGCATCAACGGAGTCGCTGAAAACTCACGGGGTGCATGATTTCCCGAGGGGTTCAAAGTGTCCTTGCAAAATTACGAGATTTATGCAAGACGAAAGCTGCATGGCGTAAGTTTCTTTTATTTTTTAAAATCTCCAAGTTTCCTACGATGACCATAAGAAATTACAATCAGGCCTCTTCAAGTTAAACTCCACAGGACCTGCACCTAAATTCAACTCGCGGAGCTCTTGAGTTAGGGTTACTAGCCTTTTTGCTGGAAAATCGATGAAGAATTAAAGGAAGTTCAAATTACCGTAGTGATCTTCTGGGCCTTGAACTGCTTTGTAAGTGAGTGTACAGGATACTGCACTTGTAGGCAAAGGTTAATTCACTTCATTTTGAGAAATATCAAGTTACATTTTTATTGCTTTTCTCTTCGTTTCATCCCCAGAATAAATTACCCGAAGAGCTCGAGAAAATTGAGAGGAAAGTCTGTAATACTTTCTTTAGGGAATTCAGACATGACGATAAAAATAAAAAATCGACAGAGATTTTGAGTTACAACGGTCCAACTGTCTTTTGCGAAGCTTCGGCCAGGAACTCACTAGCAAGAGATTCTGAACATTTTGAACTAATGTAAAACTTTAAAATTGCAACATTACAACATTCTTTTAATATTCTTACGGAGATTTTCATCTTGAGTTGAAAATCCTGCGCATAAACGCGTCTGATTCACATCAAGTTTTCTTTTCCGGTAGCCTACTTCTTATTTATCCCATTACAAGGTTAACCCGGTTGATGGATCTCCCCCGTTCCAAAAAAAAGACCCATTAATTATCTGAAGTCTTCAATTAATAAATCAATGAAATGTAAAGCTCTATATATTCTGGAGTTACAAGAATGGCTAATTGGGTCCAACCCCCAAGAGTTACTGAATTGAGTACTGTAATTCAGTAAAAACTGAATAATCCATTCCTGATCGTCTGGGAATAAGTTCTTTCATACACTATTAAATGAATAGAAAATACTCGACACAGAACACAGTTTGGCCAATATACCTGATTAACCTGATTGTACATTATTACTCTAGAAATCAGATGGACGAAAAACTGTTCAATCGTCTGACCATCAGCTCTCTGAACGTGTCGAAGAGCCCCCGAAGCACGATTCACAACAACAACCTACTCATGTCATCCTACGGGGAATGCAATGGAGTAACACGGGTTTCGACTCTTTGCGTCCTACGGGCTTCCACAACTGTTCCGGAATTCCCACCAAACAAAAAAGTCAAGCGTGGCAGTCGGTCAAGACACACTTCCGACTTGGACGTGAGCCGATTCATCGACAGCAGGAATTCCTGCATTTCCACCGATTCGGGTCTCAAAGTACAGTAACTGTCGCAAACGTCAATGTCCTGCTCCTTCGCACGTCTCACATGCTGCGCGAGTTTTACTTTGCTGTCGTTGGACGAATGTGTCAATGTCATGAAATTTTGACTGTGGGTACCCGTATTTATTCGAATGGAACAAGGAATTTTTTGAGATTCAAACCAAAATTAAAAAGATTTCACTCATCTCTCAAGCATCGCAGAAGCTTGTTGATTTTACTCGGGATTCATTGATCAGCGTCATCTTGTAAAAAAAATCAGGATTCCACTCTCGTGCCGCTGAACTGAAATTGGGGGTTCGAGAAATGACACCACAAAACAACTTCTATTCAAAAGATCGCGTTTTTCAGAGGCAACCTGATTTTCAAAACGCAAAATTCGAACAAGTGCGCATCATATTCTAGTAAATACGGGTACCCGTTAATGAACGTATTTTTAAAATGTTGGGGACTCGAATTTCTTAGTATTTATCGTTGTTCCACTTCACGGTTCAGTACGAAAGACAAATCTACGATCGAAAAAAATTTCGTTTATAAAAATTCAGCAATTTTATTAAACTTCGGCAGGGTAAAAAAAATTAAATGCGGCACGCGAACTTTGGAACAAGTTCATGCGAAAAATGAATCACAGTACGCACCACATTCCCAAATCTTGGAGCATTCCAATTAGTTTCCCTCTAAGATTAGTTTTCTCGATTCCGATGCGAGAAAGCTCCTTGTCACTAGGCCTCCACACAATGTGCGTGGCGAATTTTCCAGACGGGTGTCCAACTTTCGCCATTAAACGGAATTCACGAACGAGAACACAATACACGACATCAGGGTACGATTCTCCAACGGTACGAAACAGTCCAACCCCTCGTTCCTGAGAAAAATACACGCCTTGAAACTTTTTCCAACCCCAAAAAGATCGTTATCAAGAAAAGTTATTTGAGCCAAATCGTGACATTTCAACCGAATTAGGTCGCGAAAATAATGTTCAGTCCGGTACTTCCTTGTTGAAGCTCTCCACACAATGTCGTACTCTTATTTTTTTTTTCTTGTCATTACCACTGCAACAATAGACTTGACTTACAAAAATTTAAAATAATTCTAAAACTGATTACTACAGTATAAAACCAAAAAATCGATCAATGCAATACTTAACAGTACAAAAATATCTTGAAATCACACCTAACTCAACGAGGTCGAAGTTACATCCAAGTAACTACGTTTCAACCCTAACTAACCCAACTGACTTCAATTACCTACGATTTACGAAGACCTCAATAACCTGAGAGAAAAGAAAATTATCTCAGCACATGAATAAACCAAACCTTTAACAAATCTAAGCCAACTCAACAGTTCAAAAAAACTAACCCTGATTCATGTAAGTGACCTATTTTAACACACACATCAACTCGTTTTTTCTTCAAGACCCAATATAATCTAACTCAATCTTGGTATTGCGGATTTGTGTTGAAAAATGGGCACGTGAATGCGCAAAAACTGCACGGGCAACGTCAACAAGGAACAACCAAATCTTTTGATTACATTCAAGACTTTTAAATGGATTCCGTTTGTCAAGAGAATAAATAAATATGGACTCACCACGAAGTCGTCATCTGTAACTACGTTCAACAACCGGGCAACAGTGAAGATGACTTTGTCCACCACACGTACACTCGGTTTGAGATTGAGAACGAGCTTCCCGAAAGAGGAGAGCAAATCTTGCAAGAATTTGTAATCGGGATCCGTGACGAGCACGTGACGACCGCATCGTTCCAAAATATCCGTTTCCTTGATCAAAAACGCTTTCACAACCGGCCAGGCTTCTTGGTGAAACCGATTCCTCAAGAAGTCTCCAGTCGCACAACACAGCTCAACTATTCTCAAAAAAGCGAGACGGCGGGTGCAAGCAAAATTCCGGGTGACGTCTTTCAGTCGCAGAACCAAGGCAGGCCAGGTTTCGTGGGCAGCTGGTAACAATACATCTTCGTAATCCTTGTTATCAAGGATGGCGATGGCATCTCCGATAGTCTGCAACGCGACCATGTCGATTTCAATCACGCAACGGCTTTCCAAGATTCTACTGGATATTTTCATGATTTCGGCGGCCTTCTCTACGTAGACTGGGAACACCTTTTTTGGTGGGTCAGTGAAACACGAGTCTTCAGTATCACAGTTTTCGGCCCCAGGGTTTGTCCCAACAACATCCTCCTCATGTTCTTCACGTTCTCGTCTTGGGGAGACCAAAGCACACTTTTCGCCATCACTTAAAAACCACCGCACACACGCGCCCAAATAATTCTTCATCATGTGCAGCAACGCAATATCACGTTGAGCATCCCGAGATTTCAAGCGTAGAGTTGCCTATGGGAGATAGGAAAAGAAACCAGATTTCAACGAAAAGATTAAAAACGTATCAACTCAATAGAATAATCACAAAAAGAGGGATTAATCTAGTGATTAAATACGTTACAATCAAGCTTACATAATGTGAATGAAAGGTTATAAAGTTGTCTTGACTTCCTCATCATAGGAAATGGACGTGGACAGAATAATACGCGATTTTTTCTCGACCTATTTCCGAAGTTAAAATGGAGAGAAGACGAGGTTGAAGATGCACCCAATCCGTGCGCGGAACTATGGTTTGAATATAAACTGTGTTCTTTACCCAGTTCAAGTTTGCCTTCCGAAGCGAGGGTCAATTGGCTGAAATTCCAGAAATACTTTTATTGCAATGCATGTTTAATAAAATCAAGTTGCGGTATTTAGTTTCCCACGGAATTTTCTCATGGATTTATAAGATTACGAATCAGAAAATTGAACACTTTCAGGGTTTCCTGACATGCACTAAATTTTAATATCTTTAAATGGCGGCATTCTAATCTTTTTTTACGAGTTCGTGGAGAGTTCAACGGATAGCAGCACGATGCAATTGACTGACGAGGAGAGAGGAGAGAGAGAGAGAGTGGCTTTTTCCATTAAAAAAAAAAAAAAAAAACTGACATGAGTTACAATCGAAATTTATAAACCCCTGCTGAAATGTACAGGTCAAGTTCACCAAAAGGCCATTAAAAAGTAAAACAACACAAACCTTATCAAGAACGCCTGTGACAAGCGTCAACGATTCTTTCGAAAGACACTGCAGCAAAGCAGAGTAAAGAACTCCGGCTGACAGATGTTCCCGGGACTTGAAGCACTTGATCATAAGTGCACTGCAAACGTAGTCCGCATTATGTGAAACGAAAGCGGCTTCGTTGGGAAACCCCATAGATTTCGCCATCATACCCAGCGAGCTCTTGGCGGCACAACGCAACAGTTTATCAGGATGGCAAAGAAGCTCGAGCAGTGGACTCAGGGCTCTTACCAAACAGCTGCAATAAAAATTATACCAGACAAAAAATGTATTGCAATCAAGCTTCAACATTTACGGTTCCTAGGTATTGAAGGCACACTTTATTTAAATAATCCAGAGCATAATCAAAAAAATCACCTTTGAAAGTCTTCACGAAGAACAGCTGACGCAAGTCCAAGTAATTCAGCAGCGAGACATGCATCGTAAACCGAATCTGATCGTTCAGAACTTCTGACAACGCTGGACGTTGGAACGCTCAAAATTTGCTCTTCCAACAGGTCTTCGACCAAGTTATTGATTAATTCTGAATTGCTTCTCAGGGTGTATTCATCGTCCAGTCGAACACTGAGCCCGATTCGTCCTAGTTCAGAAGATGAATACAGTATTAAAATGTTTGCAAAACAAAACCCATCTTGATGAAAGTTGACAACTTATGTGGAACTCTTAACAGCAACGTTCAAAGAGTGTCCAATCATTCGATGCACAGCAAGAAATTTGTCACGGTATCCCATTTTTACCTCAGACATCACAAATATACCTAGAAATTTCACTTGGAGGTAATTATTGCTTCCTCACAGACCTTTTGGAATTCCACGCATATTTTTCGTCGAAAAAATAAAAAATATGTCGCAAAAAATTCATCTGGTACGAAAAATTTAATTAATCCTTATCCATCGCACATTAAATTTTTGGACACCGTCACTATTAAAAAAAGAAGGGATTAAACAGAAATATCGTACCTGAAATGAGCCACTGCAAAGCAACCAAAACCTCCTTTTTCTTTGGGCTACTTTCTAAGCAAGCTGTTCGCGAAGTGAGAATTTTCGATAGCTCATCATAAATCAGTGCCGCTTGAGACGAAGATCCGAGAAATTGGAATATTCTCTTGCAGTCGTCCGCAACTTTTTCACCAAGGAAATTTGCGAAGTTGATTTTGAGTCTAGGCGATTCGCTCACATCTCTGGAAGTTATCACTCCGGTGCTGGAAACTGCAACCAGTTCAAAAACAAACGCAATCATTCGACATTCGAAGGAATTTTTGTCGTTGAATACAATCGTTCAGAAAAGTAGCGAATCATCAAACACACTCTTACTCGGAGAAATTTCTTGCTCAGTAAGCGGACAATGATCCAATTCGATGATTTCAAGCAGCAAGCACATCAAATTATCTACGTTAACATGTGAGCACATTAAAACGTCAATTTCTTCCGGCGTCATCGCTTTCAAAATCCCTTCCACACAGCGCGTCCTTTTGTGAAATGCATTTGGCACTGCGAAAATAAATAATTCATAATCAGATAAAAAAGGTAAAGCCTTTACAATGACACTCAAATCTAAATCATCCCGCGGTTGACGCCTAATATTGATCGCAGAATTAAATTTTATTAATGTTCACTTGAGTGTATGAAAAAATTGAAACTTATATTTTTGCAGTCCGTGGCTGGGGAACTGGAATAAATGAAACACCTGGAATATGATGTCAGTAAATGCTATGATTCAAGACATTACTGCAGTTTCTAAACCTCAAATAATGAAAGAGACGTGGAAAATATACATAATGCTGTTCAATGAAGGAGCAGGTAAATAGCGACAGCAAACTCTAGTCAAAACAACCACATCTAAGGTTACATCACAGGAAGGAAAAAAAATTGGTGATACCCACGAGAAGATTTCCGAATGGCGCTTTTTAATGAATCGAGGTTCTCCAAGAAAACAGACTGAAGTATGCCGAAGAGGTTTTCCCTAGTTGAACAAACTTCTTTCATCGCTCGCTTCGCAGCCGATGCAACGTCGTTAACATCATCCACAGAAAGGTAAGCCAACGCTTCGACTAATCCTTTCATGTTCGGCGACGCGCACCTATCAAAAATTGTGAAGTACAAATGAAATATCAATTAATTTTTCCAATAGTAAGCACTTAATCACCTGGGACAATCCGTTGCAAAAGAGCAGATGGCTTCAACAAGATTAAGTCGAACACTGCTATGGTTGTGTCTTGAAACACTTCGGATCATAGGAATCAAACGGAAATTCGTGTTCTCAATTGTCTTCTGGATCCATTCCTCGGCAATATTTTGACATGATACTCCATCCCGCTTGTAGGGCAATACTACGCATTCAGGCAAGTTGGCAACGTCACTTTCAATCCAAAGAAGGAAGGAATCAGACACGCAAATCCGGAGGAGAGTAGACCACGCCTTCAAGGCCGCCTGACATAACAATTAAAAGTAAAATAAGTACTTGGTTTTATAGGTATCGTACCAAAAACACAAATTTTCTGCGTACACAAGTTTCTCAGAAAAAGTCCTAAAAACTAAAATGGAATTCATGACAAGACGGAAACTCCAAAACCACTCCTCTGATGTCAATTCGCGGAATATTTTATCGAATTTCACACCCAACTTGGAAAACTATACTTGATCATGGCCTGAAATTTTTAGGACAACTTTGCCATTTGTGAATCCCTAACGCACAAATTTAAAAGAAAAGGCGTTTTTCCTTAAAACATAATTTTTTTCACTTCAGTAATTGTCAAATCGAGAATATATTACGACTACTGCATTCTAATTATTTGTTAGTGTGGTATTTGTAGTACAGTAAAATCTCGTTACAACGAACTCCTGGGGACCAGAGAAAAAAATCGTTATAACGAAAAATTTGTTGTAATGAGATTGCTTGATTTTGTTACAGAAAAAACACTTCACCCTCTTTAAAAGCATTTTATTGCTTGAAATAATCAGTAATTTTGATCTGTACACTTTTCTTCACCACACACTTCACTAAGAAATCTTCCACTTGCTTCAGCAGCATGAAAACATGCTCATTTCCCTCTTCTGAAGATAATAAGAAATTTTTCACTTCTTGTAATCCTTTGAAGGCTTGTGCAGAAGTTGTTTTCTCTTCTGTAATTGACACTTCATCATCACTTTCAGCATTTGAGCTGTTTTCCTCATGCTGACACTGAGGTGAAACAGTTCGTAAAATCTCTTCTGAAACTTCACAAATCA